CAGCTGCTCGTTTTAGTTCAATCAGCCCGAAACTAAATTGCACATTTTAAACATTGTCACTACAAATAATTGATTATCACTTGTAAACAGGGGGCCATTTTCGTATCTATTTTAGACTCCCACTTTGAGAGAGATGACACAGGCTCAGTGTAGTGCCTTAGCTCGTTTCCATTCCCCTTCGACGTACTAATACGCTAGTAAGCTCTTGATTTCTTAACAGCTACCGGTGGTCCTTTCATGGAACTGGAGTCAAAATCCACTTATCTTGCCCTGACAAGATTCCTGTAGTGTGGAATACAGGTATTTAGAACTTTAATGAATCCTGACTCCCCCCGCCTCCCGCCCAGCCGCCCGGAACGTTACACTGCAGCAATCTTTTGAAAGAATGGCCCGCCCTTGGAAGTAAAGCAGCAGTTGAACAGTCCATGTTTGCATACACCTGGGCAACAGCGCAACCCTGACGAATCACAAGAAATTCTCTTGCTAAGAGCCAATCTTGAAACAGCTTGTCTTTGGTGCGTTGTAGCATTGTAATTTGGCCTGTTACGTTAGGGGTAACAAGCATTACGGATTACGCTGATGAGAATGAGTACCAAAGCCCAGGATGGAGGCAAGGTGATGAGACAGCAGGCGCTCCACTCAGAGACAACTTGCTAAAAAATACTACTTTGGAAAGAAACGTGAGAACAGTTAACAAATGTGAACCGAATCTATCATCACAGAAAATATATCACGCTTTCGAGAACTCCTGCACACTGCACTCTGAAGGAGCAAGATGCTGCTGCTTTGCCTCCGATGATGGAGGTGAGGGACGTACCAGGTCACCTGCTTCTCTGGGCTAAGAAAGGTTTGTGTCCCTGGGGAGGCCAAGTCGTGGTAGGGATCCCAGGCCAGAGGAGCCCCAGCCACTGGAAATCAGCCTGTCTGCCGTATCTTGGTGCGACCCTCTCTAGTGCTTGGAAATGACTGGAGCCTAGGTGGTGTCCGGATGGTGTGAGCCGGGATCCATTCCCAATCGGACTCCAGGGAGATCAAGTCAAGGGCCAACGAGAGAGCGAGGTGGGGACACTGGGTTAGGCAGCACTCAGAAAGAGCAGGGAGGATTTCCAAGAGGGCGACACCCCCCTCAAAGTTGGAAAAGCAAATGTAGAAGTGTAGGTCATGGACGTGGGCAAGCAGGTGTGGTGGCCCAGAGAGGGCCCTCATGGAAGTGAGTAGGAGGCTTGCAGATCCTGAAGATGTGAACTGGCAGCACACTGGTGGGACAGGCAAGCCTGGATCCCAAGGAGTGTTCTGGTCAGGACAGTGGGAATGCTCTGGTCATCAAGGTTTCGCAGAGCAACGCTTCTATGCTATCTTCTTGCCACCACGGAGAGAGAGACATGGCCTTGGCCTCAAGAAGCTTTCTGGGCAGATGGTTGCAGTGTCCTGGGTATGTTAAGGGAGGTCAGTATAGACCAGAAGTGGAGCTCCTGGCTCCCGTCTCCAGCTGAGGGCTGTCAGAGCAGCCCACACCTGGACCGTGCTCAAAGCCTAAGTAGCAATAGCCGGTCAAGCAGCAAGGCAATCCAGGCAGAGGACCGTTTAAGGGGGACACAGAGGATGCAAACAACCCTGGTACTCAGGGCTACCAACTAGACTTGAGAGAGATTCTTCCCCCTCTGGAAGTGGCATGACTATGAGTTGTAAGGGGAGATGAGAGGACAGGAGCCTAGGAAAAGGGTTTACGGCCACGCCCTTTGTTTCTGAGGATGCACAGACTGGAGAAAATCTCCCGCTGGCTCTGCCAGCCTCTTCCGCAGAGACAGCCTTGCTCACGACAGCTTCAGACTTCCGTTCCCAGCTGGTGCCCAACGCCCTGGCTATATGTGAAAATGATAACTTTAAAGAGGATAAAATATATTTTTTGGTCGATTTTTATTTTTTAAACACACTTAGCATTCTCTAGTTTTTAAAAAATGCTTTTAATAGAGCACAGACTCCTTTCTTCAGCGGCGAGGAGACAGATTTAAGGGCTGCAGCCCAGACGCTCGGTGCCAGCTAGCGTCAGAGATCCAAGCGTGAGAATCAAGAATCAAGTTGTCGTTTGGTGTGCGGATTTGGCAAGAGCTCAGCACGCCTTGGAGGCAAGGACTGGGGGCCCACGCCGCGTGGCAGGCGCTTCCACGGCGGGTTCTCTTTGCTCCGGGCCCAGCGCAGCCGAGAGGTCACGGTCGCGCTGTTTGCCTGCTCCTCCCTGAGGGCGAGCGATGGACCGTTTGGCCACACTTAAGAGTCACGGAGTGCTCCCTCCAGCTGGGTGGGATTCTAGGACACTTGGTCTGTGGCCTATTCATCATGACATGAAAGGAGACTTCCCCCACGGTCCCACCCACAGTGGCAGAGCTGGAACTGGCGCCTGACTGCCGGGCAAGGAAGTAGTTTGTCCTCATTTTGGTGCATTTTGTTCCTCCCACCTGGTGTGTGCCCTCCCTGCCTCCTGCCCTGTCCCCAGAACAGCTCTCGCCCTTCTCCGCACATGAAGCAAGTCTCCCTGCCGTCCCTGAAGTCACCTGCTTTGAATCTCCACGGTGCTCACTCTGTACACCACCTGTTTTGTTTGCCTGCCTGTTGCGTGTTTAAACAGGCAAAGCAGCCAGAGACGCCAGGAAAGCTCACCTAGCCGTAAACTGGGGGCTGACAGCCAGGAAAAACAGAGAAGACCATTTGACAAATAGAGAGACCAAGACTGAGAGAGGGCAGGTGACCTGCCCACATCACACGGCCAGCTGAGGACAAAACGAGGACTTGACTGCCCAGGTCCCCTGCTTTCCTAGCAGACCATCTTTCTTCCACGTGGACGTGGGTGATCACTGAGCACAGCGCCCGAGGGGATGCAGTCACAGGGAGCTAAACAGGAAGGGAGCACTCCCAAGACTGTGTCCCCGGGACTCAGCTCAGGGCCTCCCGGAGCAGGTGCCCGCAAATGCCTCAAGACACAGGAAGAGAGGGAGAGACGGGTGCCCAAGGAAGGTGCTCCGTAGCTCTGTGGGCAGTAAGTTCCTGCACTTGGGGACAGAGGCAGAAGGTCAGGGGAAGGGAGGGCACCAGAAACACAGCTACTCCTGGACTTGGAAAGCCAGTGGCTCATCAGAAAGGGTGTTCCAGACAGAGGAAGAACGTAACCAGGGCTCGAGCTGTTGATGATAAAGAAACATCCGTCCAGAAAGGAGGGCGATGGCACGAAGTGGGGGCTCAGGGGAGGGGACAGGAGCCCAGCCTGTGTCTTGTTTGGGAGGACACAGTCTTCACGGGCCAACAAGGAGCAGCAGGAAAAGCCTGACTGTGTAGCCCCTGCTCTCAGGGTGACACGGTCCGTGGGGGAAAACAACTGCAGGAGGGTGAGGCAGGTGCTGGGAGGAAAGCAGGGGTCCCCAGGGAACACTAGGGGGCAAGTGGGGGGCGTGCTCACAGGCAGAGGGGGCAGGGCTGGCATCTCAGGTGAGGGAGGTGATCGTCCCATCCTGGCCGGGCAGGCCCCAGAAGTGGCTGCAGCTCAGAGCACCCAGGGATGTCCCGGGTGCGCTTGTCAGGGTCGGGGTGTTTGTTCCTTGGCTGGGTGAGGCTGATCACCTGACCCAGCGGTGCCCAAAGCCCCTCCACCACCTGCTGGCAGCTGTCACTTGGCCACTAGGGGGCACTGGCTAGTGGCAGAGTAGGCGGTGCTGGGACAGACTTGGGAAGAATTTTGTTAATTTATGATTTCAAAGCAGCTTCCCCCTTTTGTTGTCTTTATAACCATCCTATGAAGTAAGCAGGACAAAGACGATCGCCACTCTGTAAATCATGGGTCAGAGAACTAAGGTGCTTACCTGCTTCAGGTCAGAGCTGAGCGATCTCTGCGCTGGTCCCTTTCGGACAAATAACCAGGCGCACCAAGGGAACACAAGCGAGTTCCGAACGACTCAGTGTCCAGCCAGTGTACAGCAAAGTTCCGAACGACTCAGTGTACAGCAAAGAACTGCCCAGCCCGGGGCACGGCTGCAGCCAAATGCTACCGTTTGGGAGTTCAGGGGCTGCCAGCACTGCCCTCCCCACCCCACCCCACCCCACCCCGGTGGCTCCACATGCGGGTCCCTCACTGCCAGACCAGGCACCAGCTCCTCAGGGGTCCCTGCGTCCCCCATGAACTCCGGAGCCTGAACTTACCTCGGGCTCTGGCGGTTTTGTCTCCCCACTGGAATGCGAACTCCGCTCCGCGGCAGCCTCGGCGCCTAGAACAGCGCCTGGCGCGCACTCGGGGGGCAAGGACCCACTGAGCGCCGGACTCCATAAAATGAGGTGCAACGCCAGCCAAACGGGCAGAGTGGACGCTCACCTCAGCACCTGACCACACGCACTGCCTCTGGTGCAGTGACCGTGGGTTTCTAAACGCCTGCTGGGCAACCCCCAGGACACTCGATTAACTACTCCTTGGTCTGCGTTAACTCCAGACACCAAAATAAATTCCAGGATTTCCCCTGAGGCCTACAGGAAGTCGTTCACTTTGAAGTAAACACGGTTTTCCAGAAGGCCCAAGCTTTAGCAACGTCCTGGATTTTCCTTCCTCGAGGAACTGGGAAGACAGGTGTTGGGATTCCCGGCGGGGCGGGGCCGTGCAACCGGCCGGCTAGTCTCCCTGTGCCACGGTGCGTCATGCTGAACATGGGACCCCAAAAGGGGTGGCAGTGAGGGCAAGGGCTCCTGGGCCAACAGGTGCAGCAAAACCGCCCCAGGCTTTCCTAAAGAGTCAGAAGTGAGCAGGGGAAATAGCAGGGGGGGGAGGAATTCACCCCAGGAAAAGTCTGAATTTGAGTGACACTGCAATTCTGGCCCGTCAAAACCCGACAGGGGCCCGTTTCCCTCTGCAGTCAGGCTCGGGGAACGGGGTGTCATCGGGGCTCACATCATGGTGTCCCAAAGTGCTGAGGGGACCCCGCAGAGGCCCCTTCTCCACCCGCCAGCACACACGCTTGACACACTGCAGGGAACACGTCTTTATTAAAGATCAAGCAAGCACAGAAGTATCATGTGTAGTGCTCAGTAACATCCATACAGTACTAAAAATAGAAAAATAGAAATGAAATTTCACAGAGAGCAGCCCCCCTCACAGATACACGGGAAAGGTGCTGTCAAGCCCAGCACGCGATGCCATGCGCCACCTGCCCGCCCCAGCCCTTCCCTCTACAGACGCGCACGCCAGCCTCCGTCTGCACCCGCTTCGCAGACAGCCCCGCAGCGCCCCTCTGACCGCCATGCGTCACTCCCAGCCACACGGGTAACCGACAAGCTGGCCCCACGCGGTGGCAATCTGCACCCGCGCTGGCTGCGGCCCCACGCCTCTTCGGGCCATCTCTCCATCACCTCTCCAGCCATGAAATTAAGCAGGTGGTGAGGCAGTAACGATGCCCTTTACTCCCTCAGGTACAGGGACAAAGGGAGGGAAAGGGGCGTTGAACCTGCAGAATGGCTCTGCCCCGGCTGAGACCCTCTGGTGCAGACGCGACAAACGGGATGATGAAGACTCGGGATTTTTAGAAATTTGCTATTAGGCATCTGCTTGCCAGCATTAAGTAGGTTACTGCTTCAGAGAACAAAAGTCAGACCGTGGAATTGAACTCAAATTCCGAGTGCATTTCAGTCTTTGTGTGGCTGCCTCTCCACTCACTGTCTTCAAATAGCGCTGGCTGCACCAGACACCCCTCTGCCGGCTTCCCACCTCGAACGCCCGGGTTCCTCCTTGCGGGGCCTGCAGAGCTAGCTGCCCGCTAAAGTGTCGTGCAGAGGGGCGTCCGTTCTGAAAATGACCTAGTGACGTTTCTGCTTTATTTCAGGAAGGTTCCAAAGAGCTCAACTCCACCAGAACAAACGAGTGTCCAGTGTCCACCCCCCACACCCCAGCTCACGCTTGCTCTCACCTTTGTCTCAGAAGGAAGTGAGAACGGAATGGCTGCGCCTTAGATAATAAACTACAAAAATAAAGAGTTAACCCTGAGATCTTTCTACCATTTGGGTGTGGCTCACTCTCAATTCCCCTTGGAAATGAACTTTTATTTGGTTTACTGACATTTATTTAGATTTCCAGTGAAAAGCTCTATAAAATACAATAAATAATATGGGGTTGAAAAGGTAGACATTCTAGTTGCATATGTTACAGACTTTATACTTATGATACAGGCTGTCAGAACTGCAATTTGTATAATGTGTAATCAGACATGTAGAGACTTCGAAGTGTAAAGGCAGACAGCTGCTCTGGACCGGAAATAATCGCACTTCCTCCGATTTCTCCGCCGCGTCCTCCCCCCACCGTTTCACACGCTGCTCCCAGAGTTTGTCCGGCAAGTAATAAATGAATGCATACAGGACTCGGGCTAGTAGGGTGCCTGGGTATTGTAAGCATGCAGGTTTGCTGTTTCTGTTATTACAAATAAAAGTCAAAGGTGAGGTCGCACTTTCCCATCTTCTGCTTGTACACTAAGTCAAACTTCTCGTTCATAGAGACGGTGAAGATGTCCTTCCACAGCCCAACTCTTCCTGAAACACAGCAAGAACAGAACTGGCTGTAGTCACTTGGGGTCGGGCCGGATACCGAACCAAAGCAAGCCTTGGAAATGGATCTGGAAGGTTCCAGATCTATTCCTGGACTCCTCTGAACCTGGCCTATGGGGGTAGGAAGGGCCATCTGAGCTACAGGCCAGGTGGGCCCCATAACGTTTCCCGGCACTACTGGATGTGGCAGAACATGAGCTGGAACCAGCTTCCCTGAGTGTGCAGTGCAGTGGGCCACAGCCACCTCCTGGCGCCACCTGCGCATCCGGTGAGCCCGCACACACGAACCCACACCTGAGGCCCGCCAGGGAGACTTTACCTCTTGTTCACTGTTGAATCCCCAGCACCCAGAACAGCACCTGGCACATAGTGAGTGTTTAATTAACATCCCAGAGAACGAGCAGTATCTGTCGAGTGAATGCACTGCCCAGGCACCCTGGGGCGCGCTGGTCCCCTCGGTGCCATCACTCACTCACGGCTCAACAGCTCCGCCAAGGCATCATTTGTTTCTGGAGAATTTGAGAAGGAACAAAAGTCATCCAAAGGGAAGAGAACTTTATGGCAAGTAGGCAGCCTTCTTGCCCGGGTCAAGGGCGAAGAGTTCCAGGAGCCTGCCCTTGCAAGCCTCGGGGAGGGAACCGGAGTGAGTGGAACAGCGGCAGCGCAGGCCGGCGTGGGGGACTAGGTGCGGGGTGGCGCTGCGGCAGGAGTTCCCCAGCCGCTCTGCCGCAGGCCTGGTCAGGAAACCAGACGCTGCTTTCCTGGCCGCTGTGCGCAGCGCTGAGCTACCCAGCCGGTTCATAAAGGCTTAGGAAGCTCGAGCGCGCTAAAATGGCAAGGGAAGCTGCTGATCCCGTTTTCCCTTTAACTACAAAACCTTAGGCTGGTCTGCTCCAAGAGCAGTGTTGACCCTGAAGGTGTCCGGGGTGGGGGTTCCGCACTCCCCACTAATGGGAGACCCGAGCACTGGCTTCCCACTTTTAAATGACCACTCGTTTAGCATTCTTCCCGCCGTCAGCACCTCTGAGACCAGAGCTCTGGCTGACGGTCTCCAGTAAACAGCCTTCATTAGCTCTGTGAGGAACAGTCCATTTCGTCCTGCCGGGACCTCAGGAATGAAACTGCAACCCTGCAAATGCTCGGCTAAAATACCCAGCACGACAGGGTTTTTCTCTTTGATAATGAAAAAATTATCTGTCGGTGATGGAGAGGAAAAAAAAAAAAAAGAAAAATTGTTCTTACCGCCCTCTAATGATACCTAAGGGACAAAATTAGAAGCTCGTAGACCAACCAAACTGTATTTTTCCATGATTACTTTTCTCAGCTGAGAGCTCATCAAAGGCGTCACCCACCTGGTTTAGGTTTTGGGATCAAGACAATTTATGCTGTGACATGAATCAAATCTAAGCAATGCAGCTGGCTACTTGCGCCCCTGCACTCTCACCAACTCAAGGAGATCTTCTGAGCAAAGAGGCAATGTGCTAAAAGAAAACAAATCAAAGAACTGAAATAAAGCAAAACCAAGGTAAACAATGACAAAGCAAACACAGGGAAGGAGCATATGGGCACGCAGCATGTTCTCGACACTTCTTCGCCACACACACACACACACGAACCGAAAGGGGTATTTTGGGGAAGGCCACATCCAAGGATAACAAAGCACAGCAAAGCAAAACCAAAAAAGAGCAAATAAATTTTAAATGATAAATATTTGTGGAGATACAGCCAGGAAATAAACCATAAGATATTTGGGCTCAGCCAACTTCTTCCTGAGAGCGTCGACTGCTCTGCCTTTGTGCGGAAGGCACTGTGCACTCGACCTTCGGAACGGCCGCCGGCCCTGACTGGCCCCACGTCCAGGGGCTCGAGGCCTGAGGTTAGAGCCCAGCTCGTCTTTCATCCACTCCAGGTGTTTCCCGCTACATCCCCCACATGCCGCGGAAGGCCGGTCGGCATTTCTGAGCCCTCCCCTCCCACACTCTCGTCACCCAAGTCAGCTCCCGATACACCAAGTGTCAGTGGGAGTCACACTTACCAAGAGGGGCCTTCTGGGCTACGGCCGCCACCCTGGGGCTGGGGTTTAGAGCCTGAGCTCTCCACCATCAAGCAGTGCCAAGTGCCACCGGGCCCGTAAGGACGGGGAGAGCAGCCCGCGTGGACCCAGGGAGGACTCCTGCCTGGAACATTCCCCGTCTCCCACTGCTTCTCACCCACCAGCTGTCACTTGCCACCAAGAGCAAGCGCCAGCCTCCCTCCGTGCCACTGGCCCAGCCTGGCCTGTCCACTCACTGCCCCGAGGCGGGGCTGCCCGAGTCTGTGCCGCCTGTACCCAGAAGGTGCCCAGTCAGCGTCTACTAGGTAAGAAGGGAAAATGGCATCTCCCCACATGGGGACTGTCTTCCCTCCACTTCATGTAGCCCTCCCACGAGCCAGTTAAAGCCTCTGAAATCTCACAGCACCAAACCCATCCCCAGGTCTGCTCTGGGGGGCATTTGATTCCAGGCCATCTGGGAAGGCCCTGCTTAAAAACACCCTGCCCACAAGCCTGAGACATGCCAGCCCCCGCCCCTCTGAATTACAACACTGCCTGCTTGGTGACATGCAAACCTTGCTCCCTGGGCACCAGGCCATCAGTGGGCACCAGCTTTCTGAGGACCATCTCGCCCAGCTAAGCGCTGCTGAGAAAGGGGAGCAAACGGTCCAGAAAGCGGGGAGAACTCGGCCCCAGGCCCTGAGCAGGGGCGCCTGGGCAGGAGGTGGGGAGGGGCACGTACCTCGGCCCACAGGCAGGGCCTCGGCGTTGCAGCACTGGTCCACCAGCTGGTGGCAGTGCTCGATCAGGGACTCCAGCTGGGCCTTGTCACAGGACACCCCCAGGAACCTGGCCAGCTGCTCCACCATCGTCACCAGGTCCTGGAAGACAAGGGCAGGGGGCAGAGCGGCCCATCAGAGGTGGCGCCTCGTACTGGATGTGACTCCAGGCTGGGCACGTGCCAGGGGCTTTTACGTGCTGCCTGCCTTCCTTACTGCTCCAAGCAGGGCCCGCCCGCACTAACCTTGCCTAGAAACAAAACTGAGAGGTTAAGAAATTGCCCAAGGGCGCTCAGCTCTCAAGCCCAGCCTTCGGGGAACTGGGAAGCAGACGCAAGGTCTTCACAGAGCAGTGTTAAGTTTTAAACAGCAGCACAACATGAAACCGTACTTGGGAACCATGCAAAGAGCAAGGCCTCGCTGGCTCGCTCTCGCGCCCTGGAGAGCAGGGAGGCCCCTTAGGCCCCGGGGAGGCCAGCCGAGGCCAGACTGCATCACTGACTCAACTCGCAGCCTTGAGAGGGGCCACCCTGGTCCCCAGGAGATACCAAGGCACCTCGTCCTCCCAATCAGAACCTGAGCTGCCAGCTGGAGGTGCCCTGGCCACACATTAGGAAAGTACCAGAAGCTGTTTCCTCTCCTGAAGGCTCATAAAGCAAATGAGCATGTTAAAGCCTCTGAGAAGTCCTACAATGAGAAGCTGGTTTAATTTCCCTAAGCAGCATTTCCCACGCCTTAAAAACAGCGTTCTGCGAAGGCTGAGCCCCACCGTGCCACTCTCGTGGCGCCTCCAAGGCAGCCCCGTGTGCAGGGCCTGATGCGGATGGCTCAGGGGTGCACAAGGGGTCAGAGAATCAGCACGGGCATAAAAAGCTCACGTCCACCAGCCCTGCCACTGCGCACTCTACTGAAGAGAGAAAGAGCAGCAGACAGACAGATGAAAGAAACCTGGCCCTCGAGCCACAAAAAGGACACAGTCACCCTAAACCCAGACCACCAGAGTGGGCAAGCGTCCGCGTCAGGACAGCCCTTCGCTGGCCCAACAGCCACGCGGAGCGAGGGGCGTTTCTGCAGTCTGCGTCCAGCTCACGGTCCAGGACAGCTCCGGGTCATGAGACCAAGCTTGGAATAGGCCGCGTCCCAGCTCAGCCAGCTTCGCACGCCTGGCTTCATCTCCCTGAGCTTCGCTCTCTCCATCTGTTAACCAGGGACGGTGGCGCCCACCTTCGAGGGGCTCCAGCAAGAGGCCGCACGCCACGGAACGGAGCTGGTGTGTCTAGGTCAGGTCCCAGCTGGCCACCCAGTCATCAGGGCGCCTTGCTGGTGACAGGGTGACTGCAGGATGAAGTGGGACATGCAGGGGCACCTGGCACAGTGCCCACCCTAATTGCAACGCGGCACAGCAGGCTGGCCAGAGGCAGGTGGGAGGCTGAGCCGGTGAGAAGGCAGGCAGGGGAAGCCCGCGGCCACACAAGGCCAACCCGAGCCCAGGCACTGGGTGTTGCCAATAAACACCGAGAAGAGAACATGCCGCACCCATTCCACAGTCCTGGAGACCCACGGTGTCACTCAGGGCTAATTTTCTAGAGTAAGATGTAAACCATATGAATTTCTAAAAACGTGATTACGGTCACTTAATCTCCATTAAGCACCCCCTGGGCCGTTACTGAGGTTTCTGAAAAAAGAATAACGCATGCCTTAGTATTGGAACTGTGTTAGGAATGCCACTTAGACCGTCTGGGGCGGAACGCCGAGCCAGCGGGCCCTGGCAGCTCCACGGCGCAGGTGGGGCTGGCGGCCTGACCCTAACGGGCTCTGACCACACCCACTGAGGCGCCAGGAAGGCGGGAAGAACGAACTACCTACAAGGGGCTGGGACAAAAGTGTGGGTGCCGACTGCAGAGCTCATGGTTTGACGCTAAAATGACGCTTTCAGTCCCTCATCACTGAACAAACCGAAGCTTCAGGAAGAACCTGCAGACCAGGCACCTGCCCCCGCAGTGTGTGCGGCGGGCCGGCTGGGAGCTTGTCCTGCCACCTTCTCACGCCGGAGCCCTCACCCGCCTGGGCCGTGCGTGTCCCGTGCCACGTCACAGACACAGCGGGGCCAGCAGACGGGTGCGGGCCCGGGGCCCCAGAAATCCCAGCCCAGGGCACGGCCGCACGAGCTAGACGCCGGCCCACCAGGACGCAGGAACGTCCGCGGCAGCTTCACTCACAGCCGCCTCGGGGTGAACGACCCGATGGGTACGCTGTGTCCTCACCGCAGGGAAGTACCACCGAAAAAGGAAGAACCAATCTCCGCTACGCACGGATGGGCGAGCCTCACCAGGACGATGCTGAGCAAAAGAGCCCAGACGCAGAACACGCGCCAGACCGGCACGCTCCGCGGGAGGCTCGCAGCAGCAGCCACACCACGCCATGCCGGAAGGAGGACCGGAGCGGCCGTGACCTCCAGGGAGCAGGGGCGTCGACCAGAAGACGCCGGGATGCTGTGGATCCGGGCGGCGGCCGCACTGATGTCGCAGGTAAGCAGCTGTCCACTGCACGGTAGGCGAGTCACACCTCCGCAAATGAGCACGAAGAGCAAGGCCCTTCTTGTGTCTGCTGCCTGCCCGCCTGCGCGCAGACGGCGCCCCACACAATCCCGCCAGCGACGCGGGAGGGCCGCTGCCATCGCCCAAGTTCACGGGGCTCGGAGCAGTCAGGCTCCGGCCTGAGCAGCCAAGGCCGGAACCCAGGTCGTTGCCCGGCAGCACGGAGGCCGGGGCCACCGGCTTCGCAGAGGCCGGCAGCAGGCCCAGGGCTCCGACTAGGCTTGGGCCACGCCCTCCTCTCCACGACCTGGTCCTCAGTGCGCGAGCAGGGCTCCAAATGAGGCTCGGTCTCAAGTCGTGAGGACGAGAGGCAGACAGCAGGTGGGGGCCCAGATGGGCCCAAGACCAAGTGGGAGCTCAGTCCACACTCATACCCACCTCCTCCCTCCTCACTCCCAAAGTCCAGGCAAAAGGTGTTTCCTGCCTGTCCTGCCCCGGCCACTGGACACCCCTCTGCCTGTGCTCCAGCCCCCAAGCCTTCCTGCCTCTTCCTGGACCAGGACCTCATCCAAATGTTATTTCAACCCTTTCCTCGCCTCCAGCCTTTTCCCAATGCCTAGAAAATGCTCAAGGCTCTTCTGTGGGGTACAAAGGAAAGAAACTCTCCCTTGAACCTAGGGGCTCCTCAAGCTACAAGCCACCTTGTGGTGACTTAGACAACACTGGCCTCTCCTCCAAGCCCCGTCAAACACCATTGGCAAAGTGCCCCAAAGACCCCTGGACAAGGCAGGCCCAGGTGCCCTCTCCACACCTGCCTTCCCGGGCCCCTTGGCAGCGCACAGCACTGGTGCCTCCGTCCCTCCCTCGGCTGCTCCTTCCGGCTCTCCTCCAGCCCACTGACTATCCTGTCTCGGTCTCTGTCCCACCTCAGGCTCTTGTTCCTCCCGTGGAGACTGGGACCCTGGGATGGGGACTTGGCCTCGTACATCCCTCCCTACACTCCTGGATCACGTACACGTTGCTGCCTAACAAACCATCCCGAACTCAGCGGCTAAACCACCCTCCATCTGCTCACAGTTCTGCTACGTGGACTGGGCTCAGCTGGGAGGTTCCTCTGCTGGGCTCGCTGGGGTCCCTCAGGGGGCTGCAGTCATCCGGCAGGACCCCCTGGGCCCAGAAGGTGCACGATGACCTCGCCCATGTGTCTGGAAGTTAGCTAGGGCTGCCGGTGGGGCCACCGTCCTCCCCACAGCTTCCCCGGCAGAACAGCCTGGGTGTCCTACAGGGTGGCAGTGGCATTCTGCAAGGACAGGTCCCCGTGCCCAAGCACCGACGCAGCTCTGCCTGCCCGTCCTGCTGGCCCACATCCCACGGCCCAGCCCAGACACTGCGGGAGGGGGCATGTGGGCATGGGCGCTGGGGGGCAGGGCTCATGGGGGCTCCAGCATGACAGGCACCACACCCTCATCACCAGGTACCTCTGAACCCCCACTCAGACCCCTCCCCACGCTCAAGGGGTCATCCAGCCATCCGCCCGTGGGCGTCCCGCTGAGCGTCCGTGGGGTGGGCAGGCTCTGGGCAGCCCCGCACGCCCTCTGTGCAGGGCTCCTGCATCGGCAGCGGCCAGGCCAGCACCACTGCACCCCCGTGGCACTCACCCGGTGCATGTCTTCGTACTTGAGGAAAAGCACGTTCGAGTCCAGGCGATGCTCCCAGAATTCCTGCACGTGCTCAAACCAGGAGCCGTAGCCCACTGTGGAGACAGGAGACAGCGTGAGCCACATGGCTGGGGAGCAGAGACACACACGGGGCCGCCCCTGCCTCCCACGGGCTCCCCTCCTGCTGCCGGGCAGCCACGACAAGGACACCATGATGCCCACAGACGAACCTGGCAGAGTACTCTAAGCCCCTGATGTTCTGAGCAAGCCTCTCCTGCCAACAGCCCGTGCCCTCTGCCCCTCCACACCTTCTGGGGGCACTCTGAAGACCGGACCACTGGGGTAAAGGCCTCTGGGAAGGTGGTGACCACGGCAGGTCAACAGGACCCATTGATTTATCAGCTCAACAAGCGGTCACCAGGAAGAGGACAACGCCCAGAGGGACAGGGACAAAGAGCTCCCAGTGGCAGTCAGGTGCCTGTGGGAGGCCGGAAGACAGATCCAGAACATGGGGCCCTGCCAGGCAAGAGGGCCACAGGCAACATCCACCATAAATCCAGGAATTCTCAGTGGCACCCTGCGTGCCGGAGAGGCAGGGAGCCCGTCCCAACACGAAGGTCAGAGCTCCTGCACCTGCACCACGCCCCACCCTTCCAGTGCTGCCCTGGGCCCTGGCCGGGGTTGGGGGCACACAGGCAGGTGAGAGACAAACTCATCCATGTACCCAGCCTGCTCTGCAATGTTCTTTATAAAAACTATCAATTCTCTAGGCCGGGCGCAGTGGCTCACGGCTATAATCCTAGCACTCTGGGAGGCTGAGGTGGGAGGATCGTTCAAGGTCAGGAGTTCAAGACCAGCCTAAGCAAGAGTGAGACCCCATCTCTACTAAAAATAGAAAGAAATAAATTGGCCAACTAAAATATATATATGAAATTAGCCAGGCATGGTGGCATATGCCTTGTAGTCCCAGCTACTCAGGAGGCTGAGGCAGGAGGATCGCTTAAGCCCAGGAGTTTGAGGTTGCTGTGAGCTACGCTGATGCCACAGCACTCTAGCCTGGGCAACAGAGTGAGACTCTGTCTCAAAAAATAAATAAATAAAATTAAAAAAAAAAAAAAGACTATCGATTCTCACCCTGTGTTCACAAGGACGTGCTCATCACTGTGAGAGTTTCTTCCAAGGGGACTTGGCATGACACAGAGAGGCCTCAGAGAAGGACAACCGTGCAGTGGTGGGACCCTGAACCCACTGAGCAGCGGCAGGTGGGCTTGGCTGGGTAAGAGGTGATGGCCGGGGCGGGGTCCTCTGAGGTTCCTCCAGCTGGGCCCTGACCGCCAGGCCTCCTGCAGGAGCCCCACTGCCGGGAGCCGCCCGCACCCCACAGGCCATCTGCTCCTTCCTGGACACCAGGGGGAAGATGTGCAGACACACAGCGTCAAACTGCAAACACGCATCTAAGCCAGCCTTCCCCCTCTACAGGGGGAAAGCAGAGTCTCGGGGAAGGGAAGAGACATGTCCAAGTCACCAACAGGTCAGTGATCATGGGAGCCTGGACAGGGAAGGCCAGGTCACCCGGCAGAAGGAAGAGTCCAGTGGCCCCACAGAAATGGAAGGGAAAGAGAAATCCTTCTCCCTTCCAACGGATGATGGGTGAAGATGTCCAAAACAGAGCCCACTGCCCACCCAAGGGACATAGAGTGCACAGGGAAACTGAGTCAGGACTTTGGAAGAAGATCACGTGCAGAGTGGACGGGAACGTGGCGTGGGTAGGTGAGAGTCGAGTCTGCCTCTGGAATGCCTCTCGCGTGGGGGGCCGGGAATACTTGGAAAGAACAACAGAACATCACCGTCCGTACCAGGAAGGACCCTGCCCACAGACCACCACGTCCTTCACACTGCACTTCGTCACGGGGGACCGTCATGGGGCGTCCTCCACACTGTGCCTGTCGTGAGGAGTCTGTTTATACAGCACCCTGCACGCTGCCCTTGTCACCTGCCAGGGTGGCCCGTGGCTATCCCCTCCTTGGAGCGCTTGGGTCACGACATCCCTCTCTGCAGGTCCTCTGGCAGGTACCTCTGCCACCACGCTACACTATGACCCCCAACCTCAGTCCGTGGGAATGGTGTCCTGTGGTGCCTTGTGCGTATCAGTTTCCAGCTTCTTTAGACGCGCGGGCAGAGAAGAAAAGCCTCCTGCAGTCCCAGGACTTGTGCACTGGCTGGGGTCACTGAGGGACTAGGAATGCCTGGAACGTGGGGAAGCTGAGCGGACAGCCCAGTGGGAGTCTGGCAGGACCAAGGCAAGTGTGTGCAGCCTTGCACTTGGTGGAGGGCAGGGTCTGTGACCCTGAGCACGCTCAGTGGCCTATGGCAGGACAAGTTTTAACGGCCCTGGCCTGAGAAAGAAGTATGAGCCCTACTCCACATGGCGGACTGACTTTGACAGCCTTTGGCTATTTATGGTGCTTGTCCCCAAGCTTCTGTAGAGGCGAAAGTACATGCTGGGCCTTAAGAAAATGGCTTTGGGGCCAGGCGCAGTGGCTCATGCCTGTAATCCTAGCACTCTGGGAGGCCGAGGTGGGAGGACTGCTTGATCTCAGGAGCTGGAGCTTGCAGTGAGCTATGATGACAGCACTGCACTCAACCCAGGGTGACAGAGCGAGACTCTGTCTCAAAGAAAAAAAATGGCTTTGGAACCACATGAGTGGGTTGGTACAAATGCCTGGCAGACCACACGGGGATGTTCCAGATGGCAGCAGGCTGTGGGGGAAGGAGGCTGGACAGAAGGCCTTTGGGTGGCCTCAAGGTGCAAGTGCCACGGCCTCCAACCCCCTGCAGACGGGCCATTCCTAAGCAGAGAATCAACGGAGGGAAACAGAGAACCACTCCAGGACTTTCAGGCCCTTGTGGATTTCTAAACTGCAAGCATGTGCCACAGTGCACTAATGAGGGTCTTGTCTTCAGCTAGGACTACAGAGGCAGCTCCAGCTGAACTGCTCTAAGTTCCACTTAAATTGGGGGGCATCACAGTCCTGGATTTCCATTATATGTTTCATCCTAATAGTGTCACATAATCTCCCTGCAGAAGCCAGTAAACCACACTGAACAATGTGGCTGAACATTACTTTAGTTGGAAAATAAAATAGAAAGTGCGTTTTTGGATCTGGGTGAGTAACGGTCTCCGTACGGATCTAACTGAAGTGCAGCTATGCCCAGTTCAAAGCTCTTCTGGATGCAAAGCTGACACTGCCCACTTCCCATCCCGTCCCAGGACATCCAAGGCTGTGGCTGCTGTGGGAAGCCCTTGGGAAGCGGGAACAGCACTGGACTCAGCAGCCGCTGCCACTGCTCCCAGGGGCTCAGGCAGCCCAGCAGTGGGGAGAGTGAGGGCTGGGACGGGGAGGGGCTGGCTGGCTCCCCCCATCCTAAGGTGCCACCTTGCCGAGAGCAGTGCAGCCTGGGACTGAGCTCACTCTGGGGCTGGGAAGGGGACCCAGGGAAAAGCACCCAGCACTCCTGGCCCAGCTGCCCCCTCCCTGGGGAAACCAGCTTCCTGGGCAGGGCCCTGCCCCTCTACATGTGCCCTGCCCCAGCCACCGGCCAGTCCCGAAGGTCTGCCAAAAGCCCATGTCAGGCTGTCACACCTGGCTACGGCCTCCCCTCCAGCAGTGACACCTGGGCCTCTGCTTTTACTGTTTCTTTCTCTCCGAGTTCAAAACCCAGGCAGGAAAAAGGGATGTTTTCTCTGGGGAACATCTCAGACATCCCCGCCATGCTGCCTAAGAAGGCGGCTCTGGAGTTAGCCGGACCCACTCTGCCATCCACAGCTCTACGTTTGTGGGCAGGTTCATGGTGGGCGGGGCCTCAGCGTCTCCATCTGCAAAGTGGAACGTGGGCCTAACCTGTGCGGTCACTGTCGGAACTGGAGGCCACGCAGGGGAAGCGCCCGGCCCCTGCGGGGCCCTTCACAACTGTTCCCATCCCAACCACCGCCCCGGCTGCCACACTCACACTTGTCGTTCATAAACCTCCGGCAGAACTCTTGGAAGGTGCCGCGGTAGCTCATGGTCCGCAGGGAGCGGTGGAACTGGTAATAGGACACCACCAGATCCTTGGGGTTTCGAGCCATGTAGATGACCTGCGAACACAGGAACAGGTGAGTCAAGCTCGCCTTCCCTCCCGGCACGGCGGGACCCGGCACGGGCCGCTGCCCTGTGCACGTTCAGCAACTACAACGTGCTGTTTGTGCATCGCCCAACGTCAAGTGGGGACCCACGTCCCTGCCTGCCGCGTGCGTTCACGCTGCCACTGTCCCCACAGAGACGCACTCTCACCCACACCACAGTGTCTGCCAGGATTCCTGCCTTAGTCTTCTGTATTTTTGTCTTCCAGTACTACCTTAAAATCAGTAGAAGACAGAAGTCACGACCCTGGGGGGTGAGAACCACCTGGGGGGTGAGAACCGTAGCCCTCGTGAACTTGGAGCTGGGAAAGCCAAGACAATCAGGTACGGAAAGCAGCAGGGAGCCCTCCCTGTGCACCCCCCACCCCACGCCACCCCCCACCCCACCAAGCAGGCACCGCTGGGCTTGGGCTGGCCTGGGCCGTGCTCAACTGTGAGGGAAAGCCAACGTGGGAAACTCGAGTAAAATGCTGGAAACACGTGACCCAACACAGCCTCTGAAAGGAGCTTCACCTGTGTGAGTTCCCTGGGAAGAGACCCCCCCACCAGGCCAGGTGAGTGTCACAGACCTACTCCCCAGAGGGAGGCGCAGAGCAGCTGCTTACCTTGGAGTCCCCGTTGTGGAGGTCAGAGGGCAGGAAGCGGTAGGGCAGGTGGCTCTTGATGAGGCGGGGGGATGTCAGTTCCTGCGTGGGGTGGGAGAGAGGGTCCGAGGGAGGAGAGGGGTCGGGGGAGAGGTCAGAGGGGACAGGCAGGGTCGGAAGGAGGTGGGGCAGGAGGCAAAGAAGGAAAGGCCGTCATTCACGGCCCCCTCCCACAGAGAGGGTCTCGGGGCCAGCCGGGACCCAGCACGTCACCTAAGGTGAACGTCTGAGACAGGCTCACCCTCTAGGCTGGACCCTGGGGGTAGAGACAAGGGTCCCCGTCCTCAGCCTAAGGAGTCCACCTGTTGCAGCCGCAGGGGTCTGCTCAGAGGACCGGGACGCCACTGGCCAAGAGGGGCTCCACCCAGGAGCGGCTCCACGACCAGCCACGCGGGGCCACAGCAGCACAGCGGACACTGCACGATCAGCACAGCCGTCCAGCCGCACGCTCGCTGCTTCCACCTGCCCCTCGCACCTCCCGGTCAGCAGCCTGGAGGACCCTGTAAACCGCGCCAGCTCTATACTTTCTGCTCACAGCCGGCCCCGGCACCCACAGCACCCCGCTGCACCGCAACCCCCGGGCCTGCCCGCTGCTGCTCCGGGACGAGCCAGGACCCTCCGGCCATGGGGTCCCTCCTCTGCTCCTGTCTTTAGCACCTGGCACACGGTGGCCCTCAGCACGGTCGTACCAGCAACCCCTAGGCATTGCACATGAGTGGGGGGCGCCAGGCAGCTTCACGGACACCAGAGAGGGGCACAGGCATGGACTCTGGACTTGTGTGGAGAGCCACACAGGAGCCTCTGCGGTGACACTGGGGGTGGGGACACACGCAGAGCTGTGTCTGAGTGCTCCGCTGGCAGGAGGGCGGCAGGCGAGCAGCGGCTGCGGTGAGGTCCCTGCGGCAGTGAGGCCTGAACTGCGGGGCAGCGAGCACGCAGCTGCACTGCAGGGGGAGGTGGGCGAGACTGGGCTGATATTTCATTCTCGATACCAAGCATCGACACAAAGCCATCCTGCCCAGCTGCCCCAGCAGACGGGGGAGCCCCGGGGTAAGCGAGGGGAGACCCAGAGCCTCTGCCCACTGGCGGCCCCTCACCCATTCCCCCCCAAGTACCTACTTCCTTTCCACTGGCCGCTCCCCCACGCTGCCCCACTCCCTGACCACACCCAGGGCTGCTCTCCACGCCTCAGGCCTGTCACTTTCTCCCGGCTACCTGCTCTCCGCCCACCCGCAGAGCCCCCCAGGAGCAGCTGTCACTCCCCAGGCTGGGACTGCAGAAACGCCCGAGGGCGGGGGCGGGGCGGGGTCCAGCGAGTACCTTGATGATGTCCAGGCCGGGCTGCGGGTACTCCAGGACCGGGAGCTGCTCGTCGATGTTCATCAGGCCGATCTCGTCGGGGTCGGCGCCCTGGCTCACCAGGTAGACCACCTCCTGCAGGAGGCTCGTGCCTGGGGGAGACGCCGCGGGGAGGGGTGCTCAGAGGATGCCCCGGGGCCCAGCCCTGCCCTCAGCTCAACACCCGCTGCCGAGAAGGGGCTGAAGGGCCCGGGTGCAGCCCACATCAGGGGCAAGAGCACCGGAACAGGCCGGGGTCTCGGCCTGCACCCCGCCAGGGCCCACACGCAGGTCGGCTCTTTTCTCGAGGCCGTCTGGAGTGACCAGGACCCCAGGCCTGCTACGCCCTGACTCTAGCCCTGAGGCCTCCAGAAGCTGAACTTTCCAGTTTACACAGGAGTGGCTGGGGTCAGGGGAATGACTTGCTGGCCAATTATTTACAGTGGAACTGTGTCTGCCCAGTGTCTGCTAGAGCTGAGCATACGTGTGGCCCGTGACCCAAGAAATCTCCCCTAGTATACACCCAAGGGAAACCAGTGCTCGTCTGCTTAGACATGGTCTAGAACAGGGGTCCTCAAACTTTTTTGGGGGAAGGGGGGAGAGAAAATTTTTATTTTTAAATTTCATGATTCAAATTTGTATTATGTATATTAAGTACTTATATAAACTTTAAGATACCAATAATTGACTTGGGCAATATTCCTATGAATTTAGTTGGAGAACTACAAAAGCTACTCTGCTTATAGACATCAAAAAAGGTGCCAAATTAGAAAATAGGACATTAATAATCCAAGTTTTTAAACTGATACTCATAGTTTTTTAACTTTCGATTAGGTTAAGCTGTTACATTTAGCATTTACCCTTACAGTTGGTAAAACATGTTATCAAAGTATTATGCAAGAAATTACATCTTCTGTATACGGTAGTCCCCTAGGTTGTACTTATTCTTGACAAAAAAAACCAATGGCACCACCTTACACTAAACAGTCTTTGTAGCATAGGTTGTATGATGTATCATAGGTTGTAAGAGTTGGTGAAACAAAATGAATCTTTAAGGGACTCTTTAATAGTTCATCTTTGGGCTTAAAGAAGGGGGGGGGGAATAGTCCCATACTGCATTTCACCTCTTAAAAATAAGAAGTGTTTTAGCAGCTTAAGTCTGTTTACTTGTAATATAAAACTTATACTAGGCTTTACTTTGAAATATAGTTTACAACCAATACAATTATACATACTGGCACTTTAGCACAAGGGCAAACTTTAAAAACAAATTATTTTTGGACCTTTAAAATTAGGCCATAGTATAAAAAACAGTCCATGGTCTTATATTCAGCAAATTTATACTAAAATAATTCTATTTTTGTAGGATAAAGGCCAAGAAAACATCACATATGCTATAAGTTTATTACATGTATTTACATGGCTCTTTCTTCCATAGGTACTTAAAACTTTCACATTATACAACTCCCCACTTAAGCAAGCTTTGCAGGGATGATGAGGCCAGATCACTGTCAGAATAGCTTATGCAGTGCTATAATACAAAAATGTATTTTGAAAGCTATTCAGTGACCATTTAATACTGTTTCTATAAAAAATGGTTTTGGTGCATTTGTTAGCAGACACCTATCCATGCATTAAAAAACAGGGCCATCAGGGTATTTTGTGCCTCGTTCTAGTAAACCCCAAGTACCCTTTCCACATCCAGCACTGCACAATTTACTAAAATGCAACTACTAAGAAAAATTCACATTTTCTTTTGGCAGTGCATCGAGTTGTTGGCGTATTACTGGTGTGGCTGTTTCTAGTACACTGAACTTTGAAATGTTCAGCTAGTTTTCCGTCTCTGCGTGTCTTAGCTAGATGCTTATAATCTGATTCACCAACTCAAGTAAATCTATGAAATGGAAAAGTCTAATATCGTATGTGTTCCGCCCAACAAGACATAGAAGAAAGTTCATGTCCTTTACACATTCCCAAATCTAATCTTGAATATTTCACTTACTGAATACCTCATTGAGAATACTCATTACCAATCAGAACTACCGAAGTTAGTGTACCTATAGCTGCACTGACCAACTAGTGCATCACAGTGCAACAAGCCATAAGCAAGATGAGATGAAATCTAATTATATTTTTACATTACTTAGTTCTACAAAAGGATTCTAGTGAATCTTGTTTCAGACCAACTGACTATCCATTAAACACCTAAGTTTTAAAAATGCTACTTGTTATTTTATATCTGGTATCTTTAAGTAAGGTTTTAAGTTGAAATGTCATTATTTCCTTGTCGAAGGATTAAAGGAAACAGGAACCCAGTGGCTTGGTGGTTTAGGAAGACCACTTGATGATGGCGGCTCACTAAATTTGGCTCAAGCATAGTTTTGATTAGCTTGGGATTTAAAAAGTAAGCTGGGACTTGATAAGCTAGAGTCCCAGTTTCGATTATTTGGAAAATTTTTGTTCTTCCCCCCATTTTGCATGGCCTGCCATGCAGCTGCTGATGAGTTATAACCATGTCCTCTTTCTTTTTGCTTATGAACAATCTTCATCTGGGAATTCTGATCCTTGGTCTTCTGTCTATTAAGTGGTTGTTGGTTCTTACTAACATTTCTAGATTGAGGGGCCGGGATGTTATACCTCTCTGCGCCACCCATCTTCAGCTTCCCTGTCACCTTTCAGTCTGCTTTTCAGATTGCAGGGTTTCCACTGCCTGTCCCCTTCCTTGCTGCCAAGCGCAGGATAACAGCTGTTGCTTTCTGAAGGGTCCTTGCCTTTGTGTCAATGCAGAAGTTTTCATGGGCCGATCTGCCGAGTTCAGCCTAGGAGCTGAGGCCAACCTGAGTCTCCTCGGCACACAGGTTTGAGAGAAGCCCTAGCGACTTCAAGCTCGGAACTGCGACGGCGACACCCTCTCGACAGCGAAGCCTCCCTCCCTCTTCAGGGACAGACGAGGCACAGATAGGACAAAGCCCACGAGCACCAGTGCGCTAGTTGCTCACCACCTAGCGTCTCCTGCCCAATCTCCTCCTTCCAATGTCCTCAAACTTTTTAAACAGGGGGCCAGTTCACTGTCCCTCAGACCGCTGGAGGGCTGGACTATAGTTTTAAAAAAAGTATGAACAAATTCCTATGCACACTGCACAGGTTTTATTTTGAAGTAAAAAATCAAACAGGCAAAAACACCCGCATGGGGCCCGCGGGCCATAGTTTGAGGATGCTTGGTCTAGAACAATCTTGGCCACATCATTTATGTTGGAAACAAGTGTCCCTCAATAACAGAATGAACACATCTGATAATCACACATTGGGATACCGCACAGCAATGAAAAGGAGTGAACCCCGGCCACCGGGCATGCTGAGTCCTGCAAACGCAGCGCTGAGCACAGCGAGCGGACGCCAGAGGCTCTCTGTCCTGCAATTCCCTGCGTTTCCACTCCCATGTGGTTCGGGGACGGGCAAAACCAAGCTATGGTGACGGAGGTGAGAAGAGTGGCCAGCTGGGGAGGTTACTGATGCAGGGAAGATACAAAGGAGATTCCTTGGTGCAGAATCATTAACCTGGCCTGGTGGGGATTCCACAGAAGTTATGCTGTGACATCGTGACGCATACACTGGTTTTTGTCCACAGTTCCCGGCTCCTGACTCCCCTGGCCCTTGGTACAGTCTCTTGTTACAAGGTTGGGACACTTCAGGCCTCAGAAGCAGCCCCAGGCAACGGCATCTCCCCCCTGCCCTCCTTTCACCCTCCCTTTTCTCCCCAGGGCAGGCCAGAAACACTGAATATAGACTCTTATCTCGCCCCGCCTTTGGCTTGGGGCTGGCCCTAAAGAAATTCTCCGGCCCACCTTGTCTGACTGTAGGCAAAAGACCCCATTTCAGAAGGGGCGCTGCCCCAAACCCGGAGGAAGGAATGCTGCCCAGAGAGGCCTCGCAGGGTGTCCCGCTCCGTCTGTTAGGTTTAGATCAGACCCTTTCTGTCCAATCTCGTTTCTACACGGTTGTCCCTGCTTCAGTCATGCCTACCCAAGGAAGTCTCCAGGAAGGGCCCAAGAGGGCAGGGCTCAGAGCGCTTCCGGGGAGCTGAACACGTGGAGGATCCTGGAGGGTGGTGCCCCAGGGAGGGCACAGAAGCTCCCCCCTTCCCCACACCTCGCCCGCGCATCCCATCGTCTGCATCCACCAGTAAACACAAGCTGCTTCCCTGAGTTCTAGCAAATGAATCAAACCCAAAGAGGGAGTCGTGGGAACCCCAACTTGAAGCAGGCTGGTCAGAATTCGGGAGGCCTGGACTTTTCACTGGTGTCCGGCGGCAGGGGCAGCCCTGGGGACTGAGCCCGCCGCCTGTGGGGTCTGACGCGCCCTCCAGGTAGACAGCGCCAGAGCGGGACTGGACTGGAGCACGCCCAGCTGGTGTCCGCTGCAGACCGGTGGCCTGCCTGCTGGCGGGAGACACCCCACATGGCTGGGCCCGGGAGTCTTCCGAGCCGAGTACTGCGGAGGGAGAGCACAGGAAAAGCAACTGAGCTCCTTTCTCTGGCCTGGTCCGCATAACCTGCTCCCCCGAGACTCGCAGGGAGCTGCAGCCACCGGGAGAGTCTGCCGTGGCCCCACGCCACAGCACTCGGGGCAGAGGCCTGCAGGGCACAGGGTGCTCGGGTGTGCTGGGGACGCCCTTTCACCGGCCCGTGGGGCCGCAGCTGCCCACAGGCCTACAGCCCTGCTGACCAACCCCCCCTCCCAATCAGCAACGCAGCCCAGGTCCCTTGCTTGCATTTGTAGACCTCCCCTCGGGTGACAGCACATCTAAGACTCAGGTGCAACGGTCCCTTCCATAGCTTCCCGCTGTTCTGTTCGCAAGTGCAGGTCTGAGCTCTCCACACCGCAGGGGCGCCACGCCACGGGAGTGCCTGCACACTCCCCGCCCCGCCTCTGCACGGCAGCCCCCAGCCTGCCTTCCCTGACAGCCAGGCTCACCTGCAACGCAAACCGTCTCAAGCACACAGACACGCACTCGCCCCTGTGCTGGCGCAGGGGCGGCAGGCCCGGTGCGCGCCCCTCGGCTGCTGGAGGCAGGAAGAAGGGGCCCAGGCGCGGACCACGAGCTGGGCTGGCC